TCACTATTCAGAGTACAGATTCAAGGACTTGTTATGGAAATAAAGGGGGGCACTTATTGGAAATCAGTTTTGTCACCTCCCCCCCAAACCCCGAAACAATGAGCCCAGCCACCTTTTATTCACAGTTGCATAAGCACCACACTACAGCATGGCCATAAACCTGTATGTTCAACCACTGAAATATACACACAATAGGTAGCAGTGGAGATTTATGTTACTTCTTTATGAATGAACACTGTGTTTTATGAATGGACTCTATATTTTGTGAATTAGGTACCTAAGAGCCACCAATAGGGAGCTCTAGAGTCTGACAGCTAACCAATTGGGTACTACCAAACAGCAACCCCCTGTTGCTGAAAAGCAGGTAACCAGCAGGCAATGCTTCAGCTCAGCCTTTGCCCTGTTGACTGAACACCCCCTGCTGTGCAGATAATGGAGAAAGCTCATAAATTGTATCCCTTCTGGCATCCTGGCCAACTCTATTACGCTGGTGTAAACCCTGGTGCACCAGAAGCCCAGAATAGCAGCAAATAAAATCCACTCATATGTCAGCGACTGATAAGACTTGTCAACCCGTTCTTCCAAAGTCTTTCTAAATTATAAAGCTTACAGGCCAAAAGAGAGCAGGTCTGAGAAGAGCAAGGCATACAATGGGCACCACCAGTGAAAAGGCCCTGCTCCATGTAGCTCCTGCCCTGTCATTTGATAGGGTGCCCACTTGCCCTCCTTCTTGACATGGAATGCTCTCTATTGGGAGTCTCCAGGTCCAGTACAAAGACCATAAGAAGGGTAGAGCAGGAACCTTGAAGTTCCCAACAGCTGTTAATCAAGCAAGCAAGCACACAGGTCACCTTTGTCACAGTCAGGACGCCTATGTCCTGGCCAGGCCTGCACCCAGTCTTGTTTTTGTATAATCTTGTTTGTCCTCAGTAACCAAAATTATATTTATCACCATATACAAGCAGAAAAGTTGTTTTCCTTCATTTGCAAGGAATTGTACAAAACAAAGTGGCACTAATAAAGAAAAGTTCCAGGGTGGCAACAGAAAGCAAACTAAAAATGCTTTTGCAGTTCACCGAACTATCCAGAAATATCAAATTATAGGAAAACTGGTGCTATCAACAGTAATTCTTCTAGTTGGTTAATTGCAAGTGTGTTGCAGGTATAAATACTGTTTGTAATGAAGTGAGAACAGTAGTTTACTTGCTAAAATTAACAAATATGAAAGTTTTGATAATTTAAATTCTAGATTAAAATTGATTACTTAATTGAGAAGGGGATTGTAACAAAAACACTGGGGCCTAATTTGAATAGTAATAGTGCCTGGTATCTGGTGGCAATCTCATCCTTATTTCCACACTGTGGCTGCAGACCAAAGCACTCGTCAGGAGAGCTATGAGATTCAGGTGAGGGTCAGATGCCTTGTCAATCCCAGCAGGTATATAACAGGAAGACCCAGCCTGTGCAGGCCAGAAGGAAGGAAGGACCGACCAGTGGTCTGTGTGACACCAAGTGAGGCAACATAGAGACTTTCCAAACTTGCAGTGTTAAACCTTAGAAGCAAGTTATTTTTTTACAGAAGAATAATGGGTAGACACTTTCAAGAGCATGATAAACTCGCCATCAATGGGGGGAAGTATTTCAGGGCTTTTCTTGAAAGTTGTTCACTGACAAGAACACACATGCTTCTTTCCTCCAGAAGACTACGTCATCTCAGGCAAGGAGCCAGAACAACCACCTCCTCCCAGGGTTGATGGAGTTGCAGATCCTGAGGGAGGTTGCACTTTGTTAACTGCAAGGTTTGGGGTCTCATCTATATGCATCAGTTGCAGGGAGAACTGGTACAGCTGTGGTGGCTCTGCTCATTTCTCTGGTGGCCAGAAGTGGCGCTCCTGTATCAACCTCTCTACGCACGCAGCTGCAGCAGCAAGCACTTCCCTTCCCCCTCCTTTAAAAAAAAACCACAGATTTGCTGCAAGACCTCTTGGCAATATGATTGTTTTCCCAATATGAAATACTGCCAATACAGCTGCTCAGATTTCACCCCCTTCAGCTGTTGCTGGAAAAACTGCTGCAGCCAGATTTTGAAATCTTATCTTTACAGATGGGTGACAGGAATTGATTCGCTGTTTAACATTTTTTTTAAATCAAATGGAAATGCCATTATATAATTACTTGTGTACACTCAGAAACCCCAAAGCATTTTGTTCAAAAAATAAGGAACATGAGACAAGTTATTTGACGTTAAGTAACTCCAAAATGCATACGCATTATAGAATAGGCAGCTTACAGCTGGTTTAAGACAGAGACAAAAGTACATTGTCCTTTCCCATTAGGAAAATAAGGAAATACATTTTCTACTGTTATAAATACCAAAGACCATTTTGCAGTTGAATAGACCACAGTACAGTGATACCTCAGGTTAAGTACTTAATTCGTTCCGGAGGTCCGTTCTTAACCTGAAACTGTTCTTAACCTGAAGCACCACTTTAGCTAATGGGGCCTCCTGCTGCTGCCGTGCCCCCGGAGCACAATTTCTGTTCTCACCCTGAAGCAAAGTTCTTAACCTGAAGCACTATTTCTGGGTTAGCGGAGTCTGTAACCTGAAGCATATGTAACCTGAGGTACCACTGTATTATAAACAGAAATGTCAATTTCCTTTTCAGAATAGGCCTCAAGATGCTACTTTTTTTTCTGGTATTCAGACAACACACCATGGAAAAAGTAATCGCAGGCTGGAAAACTGTACTGAGCTGTAGGGAAGAAGCAAGAAGCAACAGCCTGGAGCTAACTAAGACCCACAAGCTTCATTGATTTCTCCATGTTTTATGTACAACCATGCTTGCACAATTGCTACTTCTCAGGCAGTTACAGTGGTACCTTGGGTTACATATGCTTCAGGTTACATACGCTTCAGGTTACAGACTCTGCTAACTCAGAAATAGTACCTCGGGTTAAAAACTTTGCTTCAGGATGAGAACAGAAATCGTGCTCTGGCGGCGTGGCAGCAGCAGGAGGCCCCATTAGCTAAAGTGGTACCTCAGGTTAAGAACAGTTTCAGGTTAAGAACGGACCTCCGGAACGAATTAAGTACTTAACCCGAGGTACCACTGTACTGACTTTTCTGGAAGATGAATGAGGACAAGGGAAGAATAAGAAAACTATGATGGGTGATATCCATTGTCCTGCAAATGAACAGATAACAGTTCTTCCCTCTCCTCTCCTCTCCTCTCCTCTCTTCTCTTCTCCTGCAGCCCCCTCTGCTCCCAAAAGATGCTCTAGGGCATAGCTATCAACTGTCCCTTATTTGGCGGGAAAGTCCCTTATCCCAGCGCCATGTTCCGCTGCTGTCCCTTATTGATGATGTCCCTTAAATTTCCCGGGTTTCAAAGGAAGCAGCTCCTCTCCCTCCCTCCCTGCCAGCCAGGGAGGAGGGAGGCTCCAACTGTGTTGCTTGGCTGCGTTGCTCACCCAATAAGGAGTCTAAGAACGACTGGGGGGGTGGAGCTTGCATGCTTTGTGCCGATCAAATCGGCTGCGTTGCCTGGGGACTTGCCTTTGCTCAGCGCTTCCCAGCGGAGAGGTGCCGGTGGTTTTCCTTGCTGCATCCCCTTTGCCGGGTTGCTGCGCTGTGGGAACCACCGCTTGAGGCTTCGTTTGGCTGTTGGTTGACTAAAATCCCTTATTTTGGCTGCTGATCCCTTATTTTCGAGGCTGCTGGTCCCTTATTTTCAAATCTGTAAGTTGACAGCTATGCTCTAGGGCAGAGCTTTCCAAACTTTTCATATTGGTGACACACTTTTTAGACACGCATGATTTCGTGACACAGTAATTCAGTTCCACTAGCAAACCAGAGGTTTCACTAACCCCTTTCCAGCCCCGGCAGGGAGCATTTGTGCGACACACCTACACAC